TGGTGAATCCTCTCACCCTCCACATCTCTGGCCTGTACCCCAGTTCTGTATGAATAAATAATCTTTTAAAAAATAATACAAGAAATCATCTTTTAATTTTTTGCAAAATCAACTTTTTTTTTAAACAGTCTTAAGAATTTTCAAGATGTAGTTTAAACAAATAGGCTGGAAGACAGAAAATAAGTTATTAAATGCACAAGGGAAAAAGGAGTATATAATCTGAGCCAATGAACTCAGAAGAGAACAGCCAATGTAGCAGGACGAACTTACCTGAGAATCTAATTATGACACTCTACAAACTCCCAGGTTGTTTGAAATTGAATATAGCTGTAGGTTGCTAGATGAAATTAATATCTGGAGTATTCTCTGCAAATACTATAAAGCTTTTGGCTACTACTGCCAAGAGACTCTTCACAATCACGTACTACTTCTTTTTGCCTAAAATTTGTTATCATTTACCATATCATTTACTTACCTGAAAACAACATTTGGTTTAGTAAACTTTGGAATGATACCAACCCCCCTGACTGTCCACTCCATTAGCTAGGTCCTTCTCTGTTTCCACTATGCACATGTTCTTGGTCAGATGATCAACTACTTCTCAAATTTCTCTACTTGCTTTGCATGTATCAGACTAGAAGTAATTTAACAGCTTTGGGGGAAAATGTCCTTTTTATGATATGAGAAAAACTTCTGATGAAACCTTAACCATTTCTGTTTCAAACATGAAATTTTTATAGAGAGAGAAGACAAATTTTTAATGCTTGAAATAACTAGCCAGTAGGGCCCTCCCAGGTGGCGCAGCAGGTTAAAGCACAGCACTAAGAATCTAAGAAGCTAAAAGGCCACTTTTACATGAGTTTGATCCCCGCCTGCCCCGGAGGTGACACATGGCGAGGCAGACCTCTCCTGACCCGCCTACTGCTCCCCTCAGCAGTGTACTTGGTCAGTCGGCCTGTTCTGCTCCCCACTCTGTCTCTGGTGAATCCTCTCACCGTCCCTGCTTGTCTGGCCTGTTCCCCAGTTCTGTATGCACAAATAAATAAATCTTTTAAAAAAAATAACTAGCCAGTAAACTAAGTAAAGCATAAAGAGAAAAGTGATGGCCCCCAAAATTAAAAAGCTAGAACTCTAGGGACCAGATACCTAGCTAAATATTTATGTCAAACCACTTAACACATAATTACTGATTGTGCAGATGTCAGCTACTGTTCTAGCTCATAAACTCACTCAAAGAAATGAGAATTAAAACACAAAAATTACATCCTTTACATAATAACTGTAGAAAGGGATTATTCCAGTTTTTTCAACTAATACTCTGAATCCTTAATATATAAGTCCTTACTTTGGACTTTCTGGTAATTTATATTTTCCATAGCTCCTTTCGCACATATTCAAGTACATAAAAGTTGAGCACTGTACAAATCAAAATATGCCTCAAAAGTCACACACAACATAAAGTGTTTCTTAATATATTTAAAAGTACTAGCTTCACACATTAGAACAGTACCAAAAAAAAAAAAAACCCAAAAACCCACAGATGTCGTTTTACCAACTAGATTTAAAAAGCTGAAACTGACAACTGTTTTTGATGCTAGGAAGCTAACTATGTCTTCATGCTCTTTATTGATGGGCGGTTAAGCTGATGTTATCTTCTTCGAAAATATGTAGCCTTGGGTCAAAAAGTTCCACTATTAGGCATTTATCCAACAAATATACTGGAAATGAGAATGCAAGGGTGAGTGGGTAGGATGCTCACTGCAACATAATATATTACAGTAAAATATCTGAAGATAATGTAAATGCTTATGAATAGGGAACTGAGTAAAACCATAATACAGGAATACAATGGAATATTATTTGATCATAAAGAAATGAAGCAGAGCTCTGTGTACTGATAAAAGATGTCCAAGATAAAATTTCAAATGAAAAAAGAAAGTCACAGAATTACCTTTGTAATTCCATTAGTAAAAAAAAGGAGGGGAGGAATAGACATACACAGACACATGTAACACAAAAATTTATAATGAAAATTTTCTAGAATACCCAAGAAAGTGTCAGTAACAAGAATATTAAGTGTGTAGAGATGAGGTAGTGGGGACTTTTACTCTCTCATATATACTTTTGTATTGTCTGAATTCCTCAACAAAGTATACTTTATATTTAAAAAATTATCAGTCCTTAGATGCAAAGTTCTTATCAAATTATAAGCTTACCTGATGTACTACCCATAACAAATCAATTAATTTTAAAGATCTTTTATAGGTAAGGAACTGGAACACTAATTTCTATGGCTTACTCAAGACAACAAAGTTTATGAAGTACTATCAGTAAATAAAATGAAGGTGATCAAAATAGCTGCAAAGTTCAAGGTAATACAGTCTTTTTTTCAAAATTATATAGATAAAAAAGAAGCACTACTTCTTACGGATTATTTTAAATTTCAGAACATGTAAAATTACTTTTCAGCGTAACTAAACTGAGTTTTAGCTATCAGTTGTAGAAGTGATTTCCCAAAACTCACTAAGCTGGGAACAGAAACAGTAGGGGAAAAAGTTGAGAAATGAAAAGTAGAAAAGAAGGGGATATACAATAAAACTACAGAGGGAGTAATGTCTATTAATTTAAGTGGGGAAACAGTGGCTTTAGAGAGTCAATCCCCACAGTAATACTATACCTAACAGTTGGCTGTGTTCCCCTGTGATGGAGTTCTGACTCGGGTCTGAAAAACAAACAATTGAAAAGAAAGGGAAAAAATGAATGATCAAAACAAATACTTTTCTAAAAATAAAAGTCAGTCAAGGAAATAAGCTAAAAAAAAAGAAACAACAACCCCATTTTTCAATGCTAAAGAAACATTAATGAAAATATAGTAAAGACAGAATATAAACTATTACAAAAAATAATTACATATCTTTATTTGAAAAGCCAAACAATAGAATTACCATATGAACCAGCAATTCTACTCTTAGGTAGAATTTTATTACAAAAGTTATAAAAACAGGGACTCCAACAGATACTTAAATGAAAATGTTTATGTTAGCATTATACACAATAATGAAAATGTGGAAACACATGTTACTTATCAACAATGACTGGGTAAAGGAAATTTATGTACATAAAATGGGGTGTACATACATCCATCTATTCAGTCATAAAAGGGAAAGAAGCTTGGATGTATGTTAAAACATACATTTCATAAATGAAATAATCAGACACAAAAGGACAAATACTTTGTATTGCTCCCTTTATGCAAAATATCTACAAAAGGCAAATTTAGAGGGTCAGAAAGTAGGGGCTATTAGCAACTGGGGGTGGATGTGGTGAAGGTGCTGTGTTATGGGTTAGTATGTAAAGAGTTTCTGCTTGGGGTGGTGAGAAATTTTAGAAATAGGTGGTGGTAAAATGGTAAACTCTGCAGTATGTACTTTCTACTACAGTAAACAATAAATTTAAAAAACTAATGAATTTGGCACACAATATTAGTTTCATAAAGTAGAAGCAATTGGGCCTCTTTAGCGGCACAGGTGTTAGGTCTCAGCACTATGAAGCTATCAGCAGCCACTGCAGCATGAGTTGGATCCCCAGCCAAGGAACTGACCCACAGGGTACAGAAGACCTCTCCTGTCACCTGCTGCTCCCCTCAGCAGTGTATTTCAGTAGATTCACCAGTTCTGCTCCCCACTCTTGTCTCTGGTGAAGCCTCCCACATGCACCCCACACCTCTGGACTACACACCAGCTCTTGTATGCATTAAATAGATAAACAGATAAATAAGCAGAAGGGATGAGTTATATTTTTTCTTTATTAAAACCACTTCAAAGTCAATACATAACTAAGGCACTCATTCCTTCTAATAGGTAAATTATGATTTGACTTTTTTTTAAAGATTTTTATTTTATTTATGCATTCAGAAATTGGGGTACAGGCCAGAGGTGCAGGGGTGGTGAGAGTATTCACCAGAGACAGAGTGGGGAGCAGAACAGGCAGACTGATGAAGTACACTGCTGAGGGGAGCAGCGGTTGGGTCAGGAGAGGTCTGCTGCACCATGTGGGTCACCTCTCTGGCAGGGGATCAAACTCATGCTGATGTAGCTTTAACTTCTTAGTGCTGTGCTTTAACACGTTGCGCCACCAGGGAGGGCCTTGATTTGACTTTTAAGTCAAAATGATTAACTTGGCCTTTACAACAATTTCTTCATCATCTGTGGTATAAATATTGGCAATATACCAAGTTCCTAATTAAGGGAAGCTGTCAATCACCATTTAACCAACACATGAAGACTTGAAAAGCATTAAGTGCTCAATATGGAAAAAGACCCTGAGGTCCAATTTTCCCAAAGACTAAACCTGTTGAGAGATGCAGGTTAATGTCTGGCTTGCGTGATTATGCCTGAGGATTAAAAATAATTTTAGACTATAGAGTCTGTGAACAATGAGAAAAAAGTTACATCTTTATTTTCAATAAATTCTACCTGAAATTTAGTATCTTCTCCAAATACAATCTAGACAATAAGCTACATGATTTTGTGAAAAACAAGTATCAGGTATTTTCATATTACATAAAAGGCACTGCATGTGTTTTTTACATCCAATATTACTGTAAAATTATGATAGTTACAAGAATGGATGCTAGCCTTCATTTAATACATTGACAGAGAACCACTTACGTGACTATTTGATCAAAAATCTAACACTTTGATAACTGTATTTTAGTCCCCTTTATCCATTGGCCATATGTGCCAAGATCCCCCAGAGAATCCCTGAAACTGCAAATAGTATAGAATCCTAAACAGTATTTTTTCCAATACATACATGATATATGATAGTTTAATTTAGAAATTAGGCAGAGTAAGATATTAGCAACAATTATAACAGTATATTGTAATAAAGTTATGTGAATGTGGTCACTTTCAAAAATATTTTATTGTATATATATTTGGATCATGGTTAACACCAGTGACTGAGATTACAGAAAGGAAAACTGCACATAAGATACAAAAAAGAGTAAGAATTACTGTTTTATAAAAAATGCAAATAACATTTTACATGGTGTATCAGAAATTACCTATATGAAACTTAATTGAATCTAATACTATAAGCATTCCAGAGAGAAAGGACCAATCAGAATACTTAAATTCTGGTTTCTGATATACAGGATACATGAAAATATATTCTACATATTTCTCCCTAACATAGAGCAAGTGTATTCATAAAACAAAGTATATTCCATAGTAAGTCAATGCATTAGACCCCCTCCCCCTCCTCCCAATTCCCTTTCATCTCAGCGGTAAAATTCAGCCCTATCATCAAAAAGGAGCAAGGGTTCAAGCACAGAATTATGAAAATTCTGAAACAGAACAGCTCTAGTCATCATTTTGATCTACTCCAGTGATCCGAAGGGAAAAGTTGCAGAGGCATTAACATCGTCATTTTCTCCCTAAAATCCTAAACACCACCACTTCTTAAGATTCTGATTTCCACTTGGTGTCATTAATGGAAATACCTTTAACTCTCAGGTGTGCTGGGTCAGAACACAGTTGAGACTCTTGGACCTTAATATTTACAGTTGAGAACATAAATGCCTATGTTAACAAGTGGCCAGATATATATTCCACTATTGCTGAGAAATAAAGGGTAGAGATAGTCTTGATGTTTTGAGAATTTCTGTTCATGCTTCTCATACTCTATCATTCTATCTTGATATAGATAAAACAAGTTCTCTACAATTGCCAGCAATGTATCTATGAGTAAAAATAGAAAAAAAGGGGCCTCCCCTGTGGCTCAGGGGTTGAATGTCAGCACTACAAAGTTCTCACCAGCCACTGCAGCCTGAGTTTGATCCCCAGTCAGGGGCTAACCCACATGATGCAACAGACCTTTCCTCTCACATCCACCGTTCCCCTCGGCAGTGTATTTCAGTAGATCATCTGCTCTCCTCTCCACTGTGTCTCTAGAGCGTCCTTTCTCCCACACCTCTGGCCTCTACTCTTGTTCTTGTATGCATGCATGCATAAATAAATAAAAATCATTTTTAAAAATAGAAAATATCCAGAAAATTCAAGTACAGTAAATATGATTTTTTTCAGACGCTAGTATCTCCCTAAAACTGTAATTTCACCACTTTTCAAGATTCTGATATAAATGCAGATATAAATGGCTTTTTTCTTTATTAAAAAAGGATTTATTTATTTATGCATACAAGAGCTGGGGTGTTGGTCAGAGGTGCAGAGGGGAGGGGAGGGGGAGTGAGAGGCTTCACCAGGGACAGAGTAGGTAGCAGAACAGGTAAATCTACTGATATATGCTACTGAAGGGAGTAGTGGATGGCAGGAGAGGATGTGGGTTAGCCCTCTGGCTGGGGATCAAACTCATGCTGCAATGGCTGCCTGTATATAGCTTCATAGTGCTGAGACTTAACCCCTTGTGCCACCAGGGAGGCCCAAAATGGCTTTTTTATCCTGAAAAGAATGCCTCTTTCTGGCCCTCCTTGGTGGCGAAACAGGTTTGGATGCAGCATGCAAGCTAGACGCAGGGTTAGGATGGAGAACTGCAAGCTAGCGGCAGCCACTTCAGTAAGAGTTAGATCCCGGGCCCCCGAGGTGATCCACATGGCCCGGCAGACCTCTCCTGAGTGGCTGGCTGCTCCCCTCAGCAGTGTGCTTCGTCCATCTGCCTGTTCTACTCCCAACTCTGTTTCTGGCAAAGCCTCTCACTGCCCCTGCTCCTCTGACTTGTACCCAGTTCTGTATGTATAAATAAATAAATCTTTAAAAAAAAAAAAAGAATGCCTCTTTCTACACTGTATGATATTCTTCTCCTTGTCTTCTGAACTGTGTATATATATATATGTGAATTTTCTAGTCAAGACTACTCTTCTTTTGAATATCCTCCTATATTTGAGATAAGTAGAAGTAAGTCTTTTGTATAATTGCCTACAAGTTCAATTTTGATTTTCATTTATTATAGTTAAAGGAGAGCACTACTAATTTGAAGACAAACCTCCAAGAACCTGCAAATGTTTCAGTAATGCGTGTGAAAGCTAGAACAAGGAGATAACCCACTAGAGTGAAATTAGCCATGCCTACAAGTGTCCTAACTGAATGAAAAAGGATGTTAAAAAAAAAAAATTGGTAAGTGAATTTCAATTGAAGAGTTTCTGGGTATGCGATCCAAACAATACAATCAACCTGACAACACTACTCTGAGATATGACTGGGTACCTTTCTACTTTCTATGTCCTGTATCTGAACTCTTCCAGTTAACATTTTTTATAATAGAGTAATACTTTTTTTTAAAGATTTATTTATTTATGCTCACAGAGCTGGGGTACAGGCCAGAGGCACAGGGGCAGTGAGAGGATCACTAGAGACAGAGTGGGGAGCAGAACAGGCAGATGTACTGAAATACACTATCAGGAGAGGTCTGCCACACCATGTGGGTACCTCCTTGGCCAGGGATCGAACTCATGTGCAGTGGCTGCAGTAGCTTCATAGTGCTGTGCTTTAACCCTTTAACCCATTACACCACAAGGGAGGGCCCCAAAATTTTTTTTCAAAGAGCATGGAAGCTCTTTGTTAGTGGGGAAGAGACAAAGAATAAACAAACACATTTTAAACGTGTCAAGAGTGATGTTATATAAAATAGAACAAAATAAAAAAGTGAATAGAGGATTGTGGGGAGGGATGTGGGGAGGAAGACAGCAAGGATCGCTAGTGTGCT